AAAGGGGGTCAAACACCGTATTAGTATGGTGTTCCTAATAATCCTTTAGGTGAGTGTATTTCGCGGTCATAAAATGTCACCAACCCATCCAGTTCAGTAACTTTCGCTATTCCACCAACGCGCTGACCAGGGATTATGAATTTGAGTTGTATTAGCAGATGCCTGGGATTGATAGGCATGTCTTTCTAAATAGGCTTCTCAAAATACGTAACCAGTTGCTTAAAACATATGAATGTATGGAGATTATCTGTTTGGATCTGTGTGAACAGTGGAGAATGATACTTGTCTTACTAACCTAAATTCACAGTAAACACATGCAGCTCATCGGGGGTTTGTATGTCCGGATTCTTTGGAAGCCCACTTGGAGCTGAACAAGACAGAAACATCAGTTAAAATCACTTTATACTGTATTTTCTCCCCTTTACTGAATTATGATGAATAAATGAATAATCTCTGAATAATCTCTTCTCACAGTCATCTTGTACTGGATCAGCAGTGGACTGACATCCTCCAGCCCCCCATCCCCAGGATTCACTGTTTGGCTGAGTAGGCAGTTTGTATAGCAAACAGGTGTATCTAATTAAGTGGTATGTGTATTTCAGCTTTTAAGATTTTTGGGGTAATACAGTACAAGACCTTTGTGAATTAGGATTTTTTTATCGCGGAATGCTACAGTATGCTCTTACACACAGGCTCAACAGTGACCACCCTTGTGAAGGACATATTTCTTCCCATGAACTTGTAGGTCACCATGCAAGTGTAGTTTCCCTGGTAGTTCTCACGCATCACATGAATAACCAGCTTGTCATTTTCAATCCCACGGTCACCTTGCCAGTTTGGGTGAGGGTAACAGTTCTGTTAAAAAAAAAAAAAGTCATACACAAGAAATTAAACAAATTAAGGTCAAATATTCACATTCACTCACTTTACAGAATAAGTATGGAAGGTGCATATTATATGTATATTATATGATTGCGTGCATCTTACCCCCCTTGTTGCATTGGTTTCCTCCATCACTATTCTCAGTACTCTGCCAAGCAGCACAGCAGTTTGTGCTTTCACTGGCTATGAGTAATACTGATCATAGAATTAACAGAATACGATTTCCCCCAAACACACATATGCGATGCAATCAATAACAATTCCTAGTTATGTTTTTATTGTGACTGCTGTATTTCAGTAGGATTTACAAGGAGTGGACAAAGAGACTGAAAAACCTGGTTTTAGACTACAATGATTTATTAGAAACAGGAAAGTCGATTTGCTCATTTAATTATTCAGTGAGTTGGGCAGCTGTGGTTTTCATATTTTTTGTATACAATTCGGGATAGTACCCGGATATCCCTTTCAGACAGCTTCCTCTTGCATCCATCATTACTCTGGTTGGATGTGGTCCATCCTTCATGATGGTATGCTGATATTACCCTAGATACTATGGCTCTCAATACACCAGAAAGACTTGCTGTCCTGTTTTTTTTTTTATTGCATTCAGTATTTTGATACCCAAATGGGAGAATAGTATGGCATAGATTTTTAATACAGACTTATAGTATTCCTTCCTGGTTGTGAACAATGTGAAAGCTTTGCTCAGAACATTGTATGGAATCACAGAATTCACAGAAAGGAGAGTTGAATTTCTTTTTTAGTGTGCGGTCACATGATAGCTCCACCCGCTGACTCTCTTTGTTGCTTGGCAACGTGATGCTTTCCATGTTGATTCCAAAAGGGTCGCGTATCCAGCCCTCATCCCTCTGTTTCTCGGGAAAGTACTCATTAAACCGCTCTAGAAGTTTATTCAGATGTGTCATGATCGTTTTCTTCATTACATTTTGTCCTGCCACATCCAGTTGCTGTCCCTCATGACAGGCATTGGGGAACATGTCCAGGCAGTTTTTAGAAACATGACTTATCGACAAGGAGATCTTTTTTTTGAAAGCATTGAATTTGTCATACTGTTCAAAAATGTTGTGCCCCCTCCCCTGCACAGACACATTTAACGTGTTTAATCGTTGAAACACATCAGCAAGGTAAGCAACGTGTGCGAACCACACACTGTTGCTAAACAGGTTGGCAAGAGGCGAGTTGTTCTGAGCAAGAAAAGCTGCGATTTCAGCTCGTAGTTCATAAAAACGGGACAGTACCTTTCCCCTCGAAAGCCAGCATACCTCGGCATGATACAACACCTGTACATGCTCACTACCAAGATCTTGGCACAGTTTCTGAAAACACCGGGTGTTCTTTGCACTGTGTTAATATGTTTACTTGGATGATAGGGTAGGGTCTCCCAAGGCAAAAAGGTCCCAGGGGAGGGGCCAGACAAAGAGCAATCCGAAAAAACCCCATGAAAAAGTTACAAATCAAAGTCCCGTTTCCCTCGCCCGGACTAGGGTCACCGGGGCCCCACCCTGGAGCCAGGCCTGGGGGAGGGGCCCGTTGGCGAGCACCTGGTGGCCGGGCCTTGGCCCGTGGGGCCCGGCCGGGCACAGCCCGAAAGAGACACGCGGGACTGTCCCCAGGTGGGCCCACCACCCGCAAGGGGAATGTCAGGGGTTCGGTGCATTGTGGATCGGGTGGCGGCCAAGGGAGGCCCTGGTGGTCCGATCCCCGGCTGACAAAACTGGCTTTCGGGACATGGAATGTCACCTGAAGGAGCCTGAGCTTGTGCGTGAGGTTGAGAGGTATCGACTAGATATAGTCGGGCTCACCTC